CGTGGCATCCTTCGCAACAAGCCATGCACTTTACCCTAAAAGGAGGAGGAGGGTAAGGGTTAAGTGATAAATCACTTGTTTGGCATTAAGCTGTTGAAAAGGGCCCATCCTCTATAGTGTGTGGTGTTTTTTTGGGGGGGCATACCTTGAAAAATATCTACTTCGGACTAAGCATCACCCTTTGACACATGTACGACTTCAGGGCATCATAGTGCTCTGTGTTGCTGGAAGTTACTTCAGCATCCTTTCTCTGGCTGACTTTATTGAAAGCATGTTTCGGGAGCTTCATTTTTATGTACAACACCTGACATACATGCAGATTTATATGAAGCGTGATGAGCATTTCTCGTTATACCATGGGATAAAGAGAAAAGTGACCTATCTCTTATTAAGACAGCAATGTTCCATCGAGGATCTTTACTGAAATAGTCATATTCTATCTGAGCAGTGAAGAAGTTGCCAGCATTGTTTATCCACCATTGAACTGTTACACCCGTCTGTTCCATTCCTATATCGCAGCCGCAGCTGAAACTAAAGATCAAGGATTTGAATCAGAACATTGTATGCATCTTGTGTGCGGGATACTTCATCGACGCCACAACTATCACAGAATGCCTCCACACATGTGAGTATACACCGTCACGTTCTCCATACCTTTTACATCATGGAGAACAATGGATAGACGAAGTACTGTTGGCAAAGTGAATCAGATTCCTTTGTGGTTTTTGTTGCATTCCTTTGATCTTCACGAGGTAAAACAATAGGAAATGCTTACTCTAGTCTATGCTACTGAGTTTCAGCATGATCCTTAAGGTTCTGGGGGGGATTTGGGGAAGATGTAAATTGGGAAAGGAAGAAAAAAACAAAAATGCGTACATTTTTTTTTTAATATGGTGCAGATACCAGGAGGGTCAACGGATTTATTTATGCAGGAGACTAGTACCTTGTAAAGCATCATTCAGTTCATGTCATTTGAAACAAATGCAACCCGACCTTTCTTGCTGTTGTTATTTTTATCCAGTTCACACTTAGGCTTCACTCTAAATTAGTGTCAAAACCAATCCCCACCCCTGAAAATTCCAACATACGCTGTACCAAGGCACCATGTTTTCAGAAGCAACGTAATATGAAAAATTTATTTGTTTTGTTTTGGGCTGATCAGTTTGCAAGAGCTGCATTGTGAAGTACCTGCAGATGTCCAAGCAGTGCCCAATGTGCAACATCAAGATTCACGAAACTCAGCCCCTGATCAATCTCAGGCCGGACAGGACCATGCAAGATGTGGTCTACGGTCTAGTGCCCAATCTCTTTGAAAGTAAGTGTGCCTGCGTAATGCCAGGTCCGAAATACTGGTTGCGGCCATGAGTAAACATGTACGTTGTAAATATCTATGTCATATTTCGTCGTCATATTTTTTTCTTTTGGGCATCTGGATGGAGAATTCTCCAAACAATTTTTACCATTACTAGTCTTTGTGATGATTGTGTAATTGAAAAAAAGATGTTGTTGTGTGTGAGACGAAAAGGGACCTTTTCGTGGACTTAACATTCAGCTTTCAAGGAGCATCGATCCTCATCATGTAAAGTACCAGTGACTGGCACAACCTTTCTCGATTCTGCAAAGTTCTCCAAAGCCATGGGCTCCAACTCCATTAACCCTAACCCCGGCCAGATGTAGCGCAGGTGAAGAGTTTTATGCCCTTGGCAATCAACAGTAGCCCAATAAACTGGTTGTGTTGAGACAATGGGAGCTAGTCCCATTGAACAGTGCCACTGTTGGATCTTGTGGTGACTGGCAACCACAGACTCCTAGGCTGTTTGGCCTTGGGGAGAGTTGACCTGTTGGATCTTGTTTCACCGGGCAAGTCACTGTAACAAATGATGCAACATGCTGTGTCTGGCAGGGTCTCTAGCCAGTAGGTTGTGGCTCAGAGTTAATGAAACTTTGAATGCAACACTGTACACGTCCAACCCAACCAGATACATGTAGATGCTCTTTGGTCCTTACGGGAGCAGGACACGTCCCAGTGAAGGCAGAGTTGAACAACTTTGAAAAGGCAAAAAACTTGAACCAATCTGGAGAGACCTTCATACCCATACGTAGTTGCCCCACTTCATCAAGCAATGGATAAGGTCACACATTCCACTCGTCATAACTGTATGAGTGATATGTCAGATTGTGAATGAAATTACAACACGAGAATGGCATTCTCTGTGTCATGTAGGTGAGGAGAGGAGAAAGCGGGATTTCTATCGAGCGCGAGGCTTGGACAAGGTGCAGAGCAAAATACAGCAGAAGTCTTTCAGTGGCAAGCTGGACCCATCAGGTGGCCACTTCTACCGAAACGACGAACAGGTGTCCCTGTGTCTGGAGAAGTACAGGTGAGCGTCTTAATCATTGTCAGTCCCCGACTCATTTGTTTACTCAGCAATTAGTAAAATGTTGCAAATGAGGTTTCGTTCAACCTTGTAATGAGTACGATATTTGCACGAAATTCGTAACCATAAATGCATTGTGAACTTACCACTGAATGTTAGTTTGTCAGTTTAGAGCACAGTGAAAAAGCTTGATTATAGCATTTGACACAGATTTATAGAAGTGGTGTACATTATTACGTCATTTTTGTTCCTTCTTTAAGATGTCAGGGGATTGACGAAAATGAGGAACCTTACAATGCCCTTCAGAAGAGGTACATCCGCTGCTCGGTGCGAGCCTGCGTCTCCCACCTGCAGAAGTTACTCATGAAGAAACTGGCCATTCCCGACAGAATGGAGGTCAGTTTTACACAGGAACCCTTCAGTTTCAATCATTTTTCATATCTAGAGAACCTAAAGGTGACTTGATCCCATGAAGTGATTCTTAGGGATTTTTTTCACGTAGTTGTTTCCAGCTTGAAGGGTTCTCTTTAATGTACAAGTGTGATGTTTTTGCTACCCTGATGGTAATGGACATTTCACGACAGTACCAGACCTGCCAACCTGTCGTACACCTTCCTGAGGTCAGGCAATACCACACAATAGATTAAAAGGTATTTAAATGACCCCTCAGTTGGTTTAAAAGTCTAAGCTATTATATTGTCTTGCCTGAGCTCAGGAAGGGGTAGGACAGGCTGGCAGGTATGTAATATTACACCGTCATTGCCATTGTGTAAAAGTAATTGAAGGCGCATAACAGGAGCTTTGGCAACTCAGGACTTCTCTTGTCACATTTAGGCTCAGATATTGTTCCAGCTTTCCAAAAGTTTGAAGTAGCATTAAACACTTTCTTTCAATTTCACTGCAGAATTTTAAAACCCGAACACTTAATGCTAGGCAATGTGGAATGTTTGTTTCCTACATATAATCTGAATAAGTTTCATCTGAATGTAGGAGTTTTCAGTTTTGTTAACAGACTGTCAGAAAACAACAGGTTTATTGTTTGTGCCCTTTTATTTGGAGGGGGTTGAGATGGAGAGTGTCCGAAGGCTAAAATCTTTTATTTCAGGAATTTCCACTGCACTTTGAATGTGTTTTTGGGGAAAAGGCCAGTTGCTATGGTATCTACATTAGCAGACCTACCAACATGCCTGCTCATTCCTGAGGTCAGGCATTACCACACAATAGATTAAAAATTGAAATGAACTGAAGGTGCTCACTTAAATACCTTTTAATCTAGTGTGTGGTAATGCCTGACCTCTGGAAGGAGTACGGCTAGGTTGGCAGGTCTGCATTAGAAGGTGCCGAAAATTATTTGTAGTTTTGCAGCTTTGAGCCTGTACATTTACCCTCTGATAAATCAAACAATTCTGCATTCGTTTTATTCACAGATCAATCTCTTCTGTCAGGACCATATTCTGTACGAGGATGAGCCAATGAAATATGTGTGGTTGGCCCATTGGCAAGGCAAGGTAGGTTCAGATTTGTCGTGCCACGGGATGGATTCTGAGGCCTGTGCTTATTACTTTTTTACATCGCCTCATTTTTAGTTCTTGTCCACAAAATCATGCCCTACTCAAGAAAGTTTGGGGCTTGGAAAAATTCCCAAGGTACCTGCACTTTGTAGGCCCAAGTCTCCGAGGTCATGGTACGTGAGTTTTTGTTTCATATCTTATGAGGACCCGTGGACAAAAGAGGTCCGTGTTGTGCAGGTAGCAGAGACCTCGTGTAGACTTGCATGGGTACACACAATTTCCTCCCTTGCCGAGCCAAAAAAAAAAGTGAAAAGAAAATTTTGGATTGGGGTTATCTGAAGAGGAACAGCCGAGAAAATCGTGATCAGCATCTCAGATCAAAATGTGTTCGTGAAACAAAAGACTAAGGAATGTTACGAAGCACGTGTGGAACATTGGGAAATTTCACAATACGTGTATTCTTCTCTGAATGCACCATGGAAAATGTTTCGCATTCCAGTCTTTCTGCTTGATATTGCCACAGAACATGCAGAATGTTCATCTGTATACCACATTCACGTAGCACTCGAGATTGCACTGTAAACATGCAAACATTTGCCCATTTGATGTACGGTGGACAGAGTAGGGTGGCCTGATTTGGCTTGGCGTCAAATCGTTTGCATTATTAATGCAGATTTATTCACTTGGCATGCTGCCTGCTGTTGTGTCCCTCCATACCTTGCCAGAGGATCCCTTTCTATGTGTGTGACCCTGATTGTTTCATTTTACTGACACTTTTTCACCAATGCAGGCGGCGCCTATGGTCCTGCACTACCAGGTGAGGTCCAGTAGATCCGCAGCCGACAAAAATGGATGAACCAAGTTTAGACTCAACCAAGTGAACCCATGTAGCTTTCTTCAAGTCAGTAAAGTCAGGAAAGCACTGGAGACTTTTTTATGTTCCCTGCTAATGCACTGGCTGTTATTTTGTGAAGTACTGTTTTTTTTAGCTATGCAAGATTTGACCATCTTCAGATTTTGAACTGAAACTACATGTGCATCATGTGCGAACACGTGCGTGCCAGGAATCACAGTACTGAGTTATACGTGTATTATTTTGGTGAAGAAAGATGTCACAGCTGAAGCAAGAGTTGGTGGTGATGCTATGAAGGAACACGTGCAGGAAGGCAATATGTATTCGTATTCACTTACATCCGTTATGTTTATGTATTTAAACCTCTTTAAAGTATTTTTCAACAACGTTTATTACTGGAAAAACATAAATTTTGGGATGAGGGAATTCATCTTTTCTGCCCTTGTTTCTCTCTCCCCCTTGTTTCATTTAGTAACGTTTACTGCCATGAGTCACCTTGTACTTACACTTTCTTTCCGACTAAGACACCTGTGAAATGACTCATTAGGCCTTATATTGCACTGTAGGTGATTACATTTGTATATTCCATATTGAATCCATAAAACTAAAACAGTACTGGGACGGGTTAGAGTATAAAGACAAATGTGGTTTGGAACGGTACCAGCAGTCATGTGCCCAAGTGGGATGGTAGACTTTGAGGCTTAGTACTCATACCAGGGTTGGTGGAGTGTTCAGAAAGGGAACGAGTTTAAGTGCTTTGGCATAGATATGCAAGCAGTATTGAGGAATTGGCAAAGGGACTCTGACTTGAGCTATTTTTGTAATGTTGTGTCACCACACTTTTAAGGAGAGGATGGAATGGGTGATGGCGTTATTAACTATGCAACATAAGGTGATTATTTTTTTAGCTTGTTGGGAGGGGTGGGAACAGAAATATGTCTTCTTCCCACGCATTGTTTCATATTAAAATGTAATACAGTAGCTCTGTCTACCACCTGCACTATCTAGCCCATGTTAGTGGTTCCTCCCAAATCCGCAGAATCTTTTTTTCTTCAAGGGTGCTAGTCATTGACTGAAGTCTTGGACAGTCTTGAAGACAAGCAGAGAGGAAACCATCATGGTGGTGGTTTGGATAGGGGCTGAAGCAGGCTTTAGTGCATGCCTGCATTATCTTTCCAGCAATGACAAAGGGGAGGGAGGTCAGGCAGGCACAGTTGTACCTACCTCACCTTCCACTTTCGTGACCTGATTCAAATCCTGTCCTGATGTTGGGACTGGGTTACCTTGTATTCCCCACAAAACCTTTTCTGAGGTTTTCCTCCCACCTCAATAAACAAGACATTCTGTTATTGTCTTTTCCACACCCTGTAAGGAGAGCAGTTTTTAACCGATGATAGGACTTTTTCTTGCTAAATAAGAATAAATGAAAATGACATTACCAGTCGTCATCAATGCCAGGCAGTGCCCTGCCATTGCATGAAATGATTGATTCAGAATTGTGCAGCTTTTTGAGGTGATAAGTACTTAGTGATCGAAATTGCCGTCTTCAACAGTTTTGCCTTATTTGAGCCACTTACCGGACTTTTTGTATTCCTAAATCATGGCAGTAGTCAAAGATAATACACTGTTGAGTATTTACTGTGGCTAAACATTCTGTTGCTGTCACTTTGGACTATTGGATTCATCCTTGCAAGGAGAGCTTTCTAAAAATGGTGACATTAAAGTGATGATTGGGATGACAAGAAGTTAAGACCTGCCATAAGTCATGTGATATGAATTAAATTGGAACTTTAAAAAATGAGACAGGTACTAAATTTGCTGTTGATAGAAAAGGGAATAATTTACAGTCCAACTGAATTCTGGTTTAAAGTACAGACTAAGAGTTTTTAAGAAGTGTGTGGAAATGTAGATATATATATATAAAATAATATTTATGTAAATGTTTTAATGTCATTTTGAAATAAAACCGGTCTGTTGGCTAGACCAAGTGCATCCTTTGTGGCACTTAATCCTGAATGTTGTGTGTACTGTCACAGGATATTGTAACAGAAATAGTGAAGCGGATGGAAGGATTTAAGAACAATTTGTCCAACTTTCCATCGAGCTATTCTGTAGCTGAAAAACTAAGGAGCTAGCAAATGAAGAAATAACTAGTATGCATAAAACTAACAGTGACTATTCGAAGGATCAAAAGGTTTAGCAAGCTCTTTTCAAAGAAATGTTAAATCTCGAGAATCGCATTGACCAACACCCGTATGAACTTTAACCTTTACCCCTTACTGGGAAGTGTGTAAAATCATTGCAATCGGAGGATTTGGGACTGTTGGGGCTATAGAACTTGCATGTTTTCGTCTAATATTTGTCCAATTCTCAAAGCGTCACAGACGTACCACCCCAGCATGATGACCAGTCGAGGATCCGAATCTCACGGGCTCGCAGTGGGTCCTACCATGGTCCTATATACGCGTACTAGTTCGGTGATTCTGTACAAGAATTTTCCTCTGTAGTTGTATGGAAATTAATTCCTCATCATGAAAGAATGATAAATTCAGAGTTTTCTTCTCAATACTAATAAACACCGTTTGGAAATCGATTCGATTAAGTCCAGCCATGGGTCGCGCTGTCCAAAGAGGTAGGCATTCCAAGCATGGAGCTGTTTAACAGCTCTGTATTTCAAGTCACGCTGTCAAGAGCGCGCGAGAGCCTGAGCCCAGTCTAGTCGGTCGGGCAGGCCACTGTCCTGGCCCAGCTGATCGAGTCAAGACTACAAGTCCAGCAAAAATGGACCCTAGTCCTAAACTGCTTTCAGGCATGGGAGGTAGAAACATATTCCGGGCAATCTCTCTCAAATAGTTAAGTTCCACTGAGTCACTTTGTACTACCCAATCCGACCCCCCCCCGAATAATTATAAGCCTACACTACACATTTAGGCACCATTATGTTGCCATCCCAATCCACCTGTTAATGAAAAAAACAGCGCCACCTGTTCAGGACCTCATTCGATTGTCACAATCCGGGTTTACCGGTAGTCGGCAAGTCACTGCTGCGCTACGGGTCAACAGCAAAATGTTACGACGGGTTACCAGCGACTTGCATACCACACATCATTTCATTTAGAGACGGGGAAAGCGTCGTCAGCAACCGGGAACACTGGCGAGTAACTTGTTATTTCAGGGTTAAGCGATCATATTGCATGGTTTGGTTTTGAAAAATATTTAGAACCACATTATTTTATCTTTGTGGTTTGCATAAATCGTTCTTTATATCTGCATTTAGCTATTAAATTGCTCCACGACGTGTGGTGGAAATAGTACTGTGCAGGCCGCGTGGTCTTTTTTTCATTTCACAATAGTAACAGTTTTTATTTGGTTTTACTAATTCTATACCGACATTACTGTGTGTACCCTGTACCGATGAGCCGATAATTTATGCACCGTGCACATCTGCAGAGAAGGGCCTACTTTGGAGTAGTAGATAAGATGTACCCGATCTCATCTGTGATTCTCCTCAGTGAGGATCGAGGCGGTCCAGCATGGGAAGAGTTCCATATGTACATGTAGCTTACCGTCAACACTTTATGCCCCCATGAGACTTGTCTGAAAAAAACCCAAGTGTTTTCTTAGTAAATGCTTCAGAATTTTCTAAGTTAATTTTCACTTTTCAGAACCTGTTGTCACTTTTTTTTATCTATATACGGAACTCTTTCCCTGTGTGGATACTTGGAGATTCTTATAAATGGAGGCGTATTAACTTCTGTCATGTCTGTGGTGCGGCACCTGGAGCCATTCGAAGAGCGTGGAAGCAGTGGGACCCTGGATGTGGTGACCACTGGAGGTGCCTTTGGTCTCCAAAAGTAGTGACAGCTATCCAGAGTTTATATGGGAAGAACAAAAACTGGAGCCACAGTCTTTGGTTTTGTTATTTGTTTGCTTGTTTTTGTGTTTTTTTGGGGGGGGGGGTGTTGCATACATGTACATACCACAGAGCTACTTTAAAAAGCTAGATAGTGCCTATTTTGGTGTAGCTTTTTTTCATTGGGAGTTTGTAGAGTGGAAGAGTGAATTTGCCAATAAATAAGGAAAAAGTTCCATACATAGACACCATTCATTTTGTTTAAAGTGGTATAAGAAATTTTTGGAGCCTTTACATATACTTAGAAAACACAATTTTTCAGACCGGTCTTATAGGGTTTTTTCACACGATCAAGTGATTTCCATGAAAATTGGAAGTTTTTCCAAAATCAGTTTTTGAACCACTATCTGCACAGGTTTATTTTTTGAATTCCAATAACGTGTACAAGATATTACGTTTATTTCATACTTTGAAATATCACCCTGTACCAACCAAAATTATTACTGAGGAGGGAGTGGTGGTGTGAAATTTATCTCTCCTTGTTTCAGTGTAAAATTTTAGGCATGGTTGGTCAGTAGGTGTAAAGTGCATGTACATGTACAGTACATGTACATGTATTAAGGAAGTTATTGGAGATCCAATCATGATTCGTCACTATGAATGTTGAATAACAGAGCTTTCATTTGGTGCTTTACTTCCACAGTTGAAGTGGGTAATGGATACAAAACAGCTAGTGACTATTGCCTGAATCAGGGTGCTTCATATGAAAATCCACAGGTGCTCTAGTAATGGGTGTCAGATCATTTTGTGCGACACTACCCTCTGTGCAAAAAACTATATAATGGAACTGTTGTGCTGCCGACATTCCATTCGACTTTGGCTTTGCCTTCTGTTGTGTTGATACGAGGGGAGTATAGCAGCAATGTCTGGCTCAAAGATACCCAAAGCTGCCCCTAGGGGTGGTAAGGCAATGTACGTCCCTGGCGCGTCTCCGGAGGCACAGAATGCCAACCTCCGCGTGGTCGTGGAGGAGTTGCGAGCCCACATTGGCCACCTGAAGAAGGAATTGGAGGCAGAGAAGGGTCATATTAAGGAGCTGAAGCGGGAGAAACTGGCAGAGGTCAAGATCGTCCGGGACCAGGAGCAGCAGAAGGCCACCCACTCGCTGAGCGAGCTGAGATCCAAGCTTAGCCACGAGAAGCAGCGGGAGCTGGCTGGCCTGCGGGAATCACTCACCAAGCAACACGACCAGGAGATCAACCGCTTGCTCAAGCAGCGGCAGGAGCTGCTGGCCCGCACCCAGGGTGAGGCCCAACGGGAGCGGGAGACCCACTACCTTAAGGTCAAGCAGCAGGTGTGGGCTGAAGCCAAGGAAGAGGTCAAGCGGACCTTCGAGATGGACAAGGGCAAGCTCCTGGCCGAGATTGACGAGCTGAGGCGGGGCAAGCGCAGGCTGGAGGAAGAGCTGAATGATGCGGTGGCCGGGGACCGACAGCGGGCAGCAGACTTGAGGAGACAGTGGGGGGAGCATCAGCGAGAGATGGAACAGCTTAAGAAGGATGCCCGGAGGGATATACAGAGGCTGGTAAGTATTTGAGCCATAATCTTGATAGTTTTTACCTGTACTTGTACATGTACATTGTGTAACTCTTGTGGGAACTACATGTGGGAGATGTGGTTGTGATGAACAACCAAAGAGCTGTTTCGGATTTTGAAGTTTGAAGTTGTTGCTACTGGCAGTGTTTCAACCAAATCAGAGATAAACTCCAGAAGATATAATGCTTTGAAAGATTCACCTTTCATGTCACATGACTTGTCATCTGATTACGTCATCACATGATTTCAATGTCTAAGCACTTCCCTTTCTAGCTATCTGCAAAGTTTCAACCAAATTGGACATGAACTTTGAGATACGGAGCTTTGAAATTTGCACCTTTAATGTCATGTCACGTGACCCCTGATGATGCCACAGTGACAATTTTGTTCTGTCTCCCCCCTTTAGCTGGTGGACTAAATATTCCTAATACAAAGTCTGTCAGATGGCTCAATGCCTGCATCTGTGATGTTTTAAAAACGTACATTTAACCAAAACTATGGAGGAATAACTGCTAATTTTTCATGTCACATGATTTGTGTTGAACTGAACAATTTTTACAAAATATTACTTGATATTTTTACTCTTGTGTATACTGGGAATCGAATGGCAATGAATATTTAGTCTGATTTCTCTTGAATTCTCATCCTTAGCCAAAGTTGGGAACCACTCAGCTATAGTCATTAAGATTGATAACAGTGTGTCCATGGTGGACTAGGAGTGTGCAACGATATGAAGTTAGTCATATGGATAAGAGTGCCAAAGTATAGCTCTTGAAAAAAATTTACAAAACTTATGGGCAAAAATTAAACATTCAATAATACATGTACATCATGTGATGACGTCATGATGACAAATTATTCTAGGACCATCCTTAGATGATTGTCTAAAGGTTTGCCAAGTCTGAAATCAATCAGATGTGGGTCTTTCTTTTAAATAGGGGGCCAAATGTGTGTCTAAACAAATTCAAAACTTGTTGATATTTGATTGATTGATAATTGATAATACATACATGCAATAAATGGAAATGATTTTTGCTTTGAATAACTACTTGACGTGTACAGAATCAATTTGTGCAGTGGTGCAGGAAATTATTTGACGTGTAACAGAGAAACTAAATATGATGGTTCTATGCGTGTCATTTTTGGTAGGTAAAGGTTTCTTCTCAACTGTTACCAATTTTGTTTTGTGTACATACATGTACCATATATTCTCATCACTAGTTATTGTTTCTAGATAGGGTTTCAGGTGGCATAAAAACATTTTCCCCAAAAATTTACTTTTCGGCCATTTTTGAATTATTTTGCAAAGTTTTGTTGGGTTTAACACAAAGTTGCTTAAATAGAAAATATATGGCACAGCTCATGGGTAGGCATGCCATTTAGCTTGTCCACCGTTGCCAGAAACATTACGGGTTTTGAAGTTTTTAGTTTAAAGAAATGTGACTCATTTCACGTGTAACAGAGAAACCGGTTTCTCTGTTGTACACGTGGGAAAACTCACAATCAAACATTAATTTACACTGGGAACTGCATTAGATTTTGTTGTAACAATGGCAACAACATTTTCATGTCTGCAGTCAATGAATAGTGATCTCAAATAAATTAGGGATACAAATACATACATACTCTAAAACCTGTCTATATTTCCAATGAATGGGAGTTACTGCGAAGCAATTTTGATGTCATAAAGCATTACAATTGTCACCAAACATTGCACATATTGCAGTGGGTTCAGCATTTGTGAATAAAAAATGAAACCTTTTATTATGGAAATGAAGAAAAACTAAGGATTGAGGCATAAAAAAGAATTCTTGTTAAAGGAGAATCTTGTATTTAAAGTTCTGTTATTAACGAGGTTGGACTGTCATGACTGAACGGGTATAAAAACTTGTCATGCACCCACTAAGCCTACTTGAAAGTTAAAAACATTACTTCTGTCTTTACTGGATAATGAAAAAAATTTCAAAGAATTCAAGTTGCAGAGATACATATGCTTAGATAGCGGTTCACATATTTATTCAAGTGGAATGCGAAGAAGGTTTGATGTCACGAGGCATTTTTGCCAAAAAAGTTAAACAAAATCCCCACGTCCAATTTTGTGATTTGAGCTGTATGCTAATGTTGTTGATGACGTCACAGCGTGCTGGCCTAGCGGACCATTCACAAAATAGCACCAGCATGCCGAGTCGGCCATGTGCTGTGCCGGGGACTGTTTCCGGGGAGGTGTAATTTGCATTACACTGTTTCCATGTGGTCACTGCCACCGAACGTTCCGCCGCCCACAAAACAGTTGCCGGCGTACGTGCACTGATTTGACACAGCATGCTTTGAATGGACTGCTAGGCCGGCATGTCATGACATCGTTAATGGACATTAGCATGCAGGTAAACTTGCAAAACGAAAAATGATGACTTCCAGCTCGACGACAAGTGTTTCCGATTCGAAGGGGAAAAATGTTTCCTTTCTTCCATACGCTCATTTTTATTTGTAAGTTTTAAGTGGCTATCGTGCTACTTTTTTTGGCAAATACGTTGAGTTTTAGGTAAATTTTACCTTCATGTCTTGAGAAGAAACCCGCATCCCGTAACTTTTTGCCACCTGAAGCGTAACATGTGAGTAACGAAAACTTCGATCAAAATTTCTCAATGATGAAGGAATGGCGGGAACTTGGCACGTTTGTGTCATGCGACGATCACGTCACGGTGCATGCAGGCTTGCAATATGATCCCAACTTGGGCGAATGTTGGAAGTTGCACGAACATTTTTGTTTACAACATAATGATTTTGTGAGTAACCAAAATATTCTTTGATGAGGATTGATAGGGATTTCTTCAGAAATGTTTGGGATCTCAGACACAAGTTAGTAGGAGATATTTTTTGGGGGGTACTCAGAGTTGATATTTTAGGATTTCGAAATGATTTGCAACAGCTTTTTGTTTGTTTTTAACAGCAAAAAATGATTTTAGCTATGTAACAACTGGAGGAATGAAATGTAACATTGTTATATCAAATTATGATGGCACCTGTATTCTAAATTAAATGAATTTCATTTGGATATTTATCCGATATCATAATTTACCTTTCTGTTGATAGGTTAGTTAGTTAGAAAATAAACACTTTATTTGTTTTACCAGTGGTATGAAAAGTCATATGAAACAGGTCATCAAAAATGTCACACTAAATACCGAAAAAACAGAGAGAAATGATGAGGTTTTTCCCTTGCAATTATTGTGTAAATTAACTTTTTTTAATGTAAATGAATTTAATATAATTTACACATATGAAAATTAAACGGGAAAGTGAAATACACATGTAGGTCTTGTTTTAAATGGTTACGATAATTATGATGTCCCTGAAATACACATTAAAATAAAAACCCATGTATGTATAAAACTACTAAAGTCCACTGGCACAAGAAGACGTATTCAAACCCTAGGGAGAAATTTCTGAAAAAGGAAAAGAAAAAAAAGCCACAAGGAAAACAAAAGCTGTTCTTGCTGCTAGCCGAAACAGCTAATTATTGCATACGATTTTTTCCATGGTTTCCAAATTTATGTTACATTGTTTTCTAATTTGTGTTACTGAAACACTGATGTAAATAGACAGGCACATGAAATAACCCATCCAGTATATGATGTACATTTACCTACAGGTAGTTACCATCCACAGTGGAATTCCACATTTGGGGGGATCTAGTTTCAAGTCACTAAGTCTGTTTAAAAACATTGTTTCAGGTAAATGTACAGACCGTACATCTTCTACTGTTGACACGGTTCAGGCACTTGTATGCTGTTGGCAGTCACGTCAAAACGACAAGGCCAGTGTACAAGAGTTTATCCCATTGTGATAATACATTAACAGTACAGGAAAAAACCAATTCACACAAAAGCCCCATGGCATTGTATTTGCCTGTACTGTCTTTGCACAAGGTGAGGGGCACTATCAGATGGCTATTCTGTTAAATTGTGGGCCTTTGACTGATGCGCTGTGTCTTGCTGGCTCCTTCCAAAACAATTGCTCATTATGACTGGGTGCCTACATGTACACCCACAGGACATGAGTCACTGGCGACAGCGGAGACATCACTGCTAAGTGTGACAGCAAACATTGACTCACAGCGGAACTGAGGGTAAACACATACAAGATGGTGACTATAAACTTTTGTGTACATTTTACCAGCAATTCTGAAATTGTAAACTGCGTCAAATTGTATTTAACAGTTTAAATTAAAAAATGCCACACTTTTGTATCCTTGGGAATAACTGTTTTGTGTGTGTGTTGAAAGATGCATCTGCTTCAGCAAGATACATGTATGGCTCCCCATTCTGCTTAAATTACATACATGTACACCTCAAGGACCCATCTTATATAAAAGCAAAGCTTTTTTTTTTTTTATCTCCAGAAGATTCACCCAAATAGGGCCGATATTCATTTCAAAGATTGAGCTCACAACTGCATGTTTGTTACACACATACTTTCCAGTCACTGAAGGTTGTCACCGTCCAATACAGGCATTTCACAATAGTACGCCTCCAAGAGTTTGCAACGTGTTGACCAATCACAGGGTGCAAAATCTGCCAACGCAATGAAGTTTGGAAAGGGTTAGCAGATTTCACGCCTTGTGATTGGTTAACATGTTGCAAACTCTTGGAGGTGCACTATTGTGAATTGCCCATGTTGCGTTTCTTTTAAGTTGACTAAAAGAGGCTGGAATGCAAATGGGACTTGGGTAGTGTTTAAGTGAACACAAAATCACTCATAAACTAGAATCAGAGGGAGGAATGGGGGGGGGTTGCTTTGTGGGACCAGACCTTACAAAATGGAATCTTACTCTATGCACAATGATTTTTGTTGATCATCTCAAGCAACAGGCTAATTTCAACTGAACAAAGTCAGTTTATCAATATCAAATTGAAATGGAGTTCATTTACATAAGGATTAAGTTCATTTTCATGATTCTGTCGCTACCGTTACATAACATGTATGGAC